TTTTTTTTTTTTTTGGTCCCAGGGATTGAACTCAGGTCCTTGCGCTTGCGCAGCAGGCAGCAAAACCACTGAGCTAAATCCCTGGCCCTACATATATTTTTTGATGCTAGAAAATAGCACACATTCAAATAACATTCAAAGAGGTCTCGCCCTGCATCTTTGTTTTACAATCCCGAGTGGGTCAGCACAATGGGTGATAGGAGTACGTATTCTTGGAAGCTTGGAAGAGCTGGCAATATCTTAGCTATACATGGAAGACTGTGGGTTACAAAAATATACCCCATTAAACTCAAACCAAATGTATCCTAACTTAACTTTAGCTAAATTGTAAAACTGCCAGTTGGCTACACCAATGTCTCTAGCATGGTAGAGGGAAAGTTACTGAAGACTGAAGATTGTAGTTAAAATATCTTCTTTTTAAGATTTTTACAAAAGCATATGAACATGTGACCTTTCAGGGACTTGGAAAGGGGCAGTGCAGATGAGGAAGCTGAAGCTTCCCTAGCTTTAGCAACTTTTTTTTTGGTACAGGGATTGAACTCAAGAACTTGTACTTGCCAGGTAGGTATGGTGCCAATGAGCTACATCCCCACCTTCATAGTGAATCTGCCTCTGGGTCTGAAGCCCTTCTGTGGTTCTTGACACTTTGCACTCCTAAAAATAGTGCTGAAGACTACAAGAAGCTTTTATGTGGATCATATCTATCAACATTTACTGTATTCAGAGTTAAAACAAACATGTAAATATTTGTTTTACATTTCTGCAAATCTCTTTAATGTCTGACCTAAAAGAAGATTCTCATATATGCTCTGCACTCACATCTGTTATAATAGCACAGATCTGTAGCCTCTGGAAAACCCCACTGTATTTCCATTACAGTGAAAGAGGCAAATAGTCTTAACATGAAGTAATTTTGACCTTGTTGACCCTCTGGCCATACTTTGAGAACTACTGATTTAGACATCACTGAGTACCCTTTCTCTACTTCTGTATCTGTATAATCAACCCCACCCCCCAGATAATTATCAACTGTTAATCATTGCTATACTTTTTGGCACATAATGAAAACTTTAGAAGGAACAATTTTTAATGAATAACAAATCTTAGGGAGGTCATTCTTTCCTTTCACTGACGAGAGAAAAATCACCTCCTTCATTGCCTCCTGGTAGTCAAGCTTTCTTCTTTTAGGAATATGACTCAGAGCAAACACAGTATTTGATGCCTTAACTTTAATTTGTGTGTGTGTGTGTGATTCTGGAAAATGAACCCAGGGCCTCTTCTTGCATTCTAGGCACGCACTGTACCACTGAGACCCTGTAGTGTTTAATATTAGAACAACAGATTCTAATATTTACCAAGTTCTTGCTGTTTGCTAGGTACATGCTAAGGGCTTTAAACCATTATCTCATTTAAGTTCCACAATTATCCTAGGAAACAGATAATATTGTCATACCTGTTTCTCAAATGAGGAAACTGAGATACAGAGAGCCCAACCTTGAACAGTCAGGATTTCAATCTAGATAACCTCACTCAGAAACTGATAAAGTATAAAGGAGGGAGATAGAGCGAGATTCCTACAAAATGTGGAAATGTTAGTAAAGTTAAAAGCCTTTAGGGCCAAGACAGCTGACCATACCAAGACTAGATGCACTGTATTATTTTCCACTGTAAGGTTCTTTTCTGCTCTATTTTCTATGCTCCCATGTTCCTCCTTGCTGGTGGCTTCGTCTCTTAGACTAAAAAGTCAACCCTGAAATTCAGGCGCTAAGTAGAACGCGAGCGGGGGAAACCCCGTGGTAACCCCGGTAACGGTGGAGGGGCTAGAGCACTACGCAGGCGCAGGCGCATTACATCCCAGCCCCGCCCGCGCTCCCGCGTTGCCCAGTCCCAGCCGCTCCTCTTGGGCTCAGACTCTACCGGCCTGCCGCGTGTGGGTGTGAGAGGAAGGCCAGACTGCGCGCGTGCGCAGTCCCCGGGGCGCGGGTGTGATCGAGCTCACGTAGCTAGGGCTCCAGTCGCCTCCTCCCTGGCGTGGTAGCCGCGGCCTAGAGGTTATAAAAGGGCTAACGGGCTCCCTCTGCTGCCCAGTCGCGCCGCCAGGGGTTGAGGGTAAGGAGTGAGTAACCGGCCCGGGAGAAGGCGACGAGAAGCCAAGAGCGAGCCGCCCTCCTGTCCCGTTTTCCAGGTGAGACGCTCCTGCGACCTTCCAGCTGAGGCCGAGGCCCGGGGCAGCCGGGGGTCCTCCTCGTGCGGCCGCGGCGGGGCAGTGTGTCTTCGCTAGGATGGCTAGGGGCCGGGGCCACGCGCTTCCTCGCGGCAGCCTCAGTCCTTCTCCCCGGAGCTCGGCGCCGCGTCCCCGGAGGCCCGGCCGCCCTTCTCCGCGCCCCGCTTCCCGCCGCTCCCGACCCACCTCCCGCCTCCGCTGTCAGGGTGCAGCAGCCTCTGTCCCCGCCCTGGGACCTGGACTTTCTTCAAAGTTCCTTCCCGGCGGGGAATCGCCCTGTTGGTCTTTCCGAGTTCCCTTGTACCTGGTCCTCCCTAAGGAGCTGAGAGGAACGCGAGGGCGGGGCGTGGGGTTTTGGCCGCAGCCGGCGCAGATGGTTAGCATGTGGCCCCAGAGAGCGGATTCGAATGTTTGGAGCCCGAAGCTGAGGCTCCCAGGCGTTTGTTCCCCTCGATGGAAAGTCGTCGGGTCGGAGAGATGGACCGACTCGGAGAGTTGGGGCTGAACCCATCTGTTGCGCGGCGAGGTGCCGCTTCTGCAGCTAGACGTAGCCTAGGGCGCGGAGTTCCCTGCTGCAGGAGCTGGGGAAGTTGCTGTCATTTCACTCAGCGGGGGAAGCTGGGCTTCTTCCTTCCCTCTTGGTCCCCGTGACTGTTTAAAGGCACATAAGCTCCCCACCTCGAATTTGCAGGGGTTAAACGCCCAGCCAGACGTTCCACGGCGAGGGAGAATTTTGAGTATGGATTATATGTTTCAAGCGGGGGGAAGGATGGATGGTACGGTAAGTATGAGATTATTTCTCCTGAATAATCCAACCTAAGAAATACAAAGTTCAGCTTTTGGACGCTAACTGCTTGTGTGTTCTGCACGGAGTGGAGAAGACTCTGGGAACTTGCACTGTTTTAAGAAAGGGAGGAAAAAGCAGCTAGGTCTTCTTTTAGGAATGGATCTCAAAGGCCAGAGGCTTGCCAGTTTCGACTTAACTGTTTCTCCGAGAGCTGTGGCTCTTGGACTTACCCTAGGAACGCACTCGGGAGGGATGGAGTAGCCACTACGGGAGTGGAGGAGGGGGAGAGACGTGGCAGCAGGGTTCTTTCATTGACTTTGCTCGGTTTTTTTTTTAAGGTTCTGGAAAGAAACACATTATCCTTGTAGGTTGAGATGTAGCTTATGAATGGGACTAGTCTTTTCCTAAAATGATGAAAAATTCAGTCTGCATAAAAGGACATTGGAAGGTAATTTTAACAGCACTTTAAGGAGGATTTTTTGGGATCAGGTTTCTGTGGAGAAAATAGATACCTAAAGCAGGAAATAGTCAAGAAGCTGAACGTGAACAACCTTGAATATATTTTTGTCTTGATTTGAAATATGAATAGTTATTCTCTGCTTTTTCTTCAACTTTGACTTTTAGCCTCAGGGCATTATTTTCAGAATCTTAAATGCAACTAAAAATGTTATCTTTCTTTCCCTGGGAAGCATAGATTTTATCACTTACCTGTAAAAGTCATGTCAATTTTGTTTTTGGAACATTGTGCCTTATTAAGTCCTGCCAGTGTTTTTGATAGCTAGTGACAAACGCTTCTTAGATTTTATAGAAGCCAGGAAAAGGACTACTTTTTCTGTTTTAGATGAGTAATGTTGTTTCCATTGACATTGAAAAGAGTTTTATTTTGAAGTACTGAAAGTCAAGATTTTGATATAAGAATAGTTACACTGGCCATTTTGTGTGTTGCTAACTTGGCTGTTAAAACAAATGAAAAATTTGAACAAATTCTAAGTATCACAGAAAAAAAGTGCAAATGACTTGATAAAGAAAGCTTTGTATCACCTGTGTAGTCCACATTATTGCAGGTGGATCTTGGTAAGGAGATGCTAACCTTTTGTATTAATACAGAATGATTTGAATACATCTTTTAAATTCAAACTCCTGCTTTTAGTCCAGGGATTGACCAAGAGTTGGGACAGTCATAAAGCTTGTGAACCTTCATTTCTGTGGGAGAAATGCCTTATTTTACTTACTGATTAATTATCAACTGGAATATAATTACTGCTCTTAGATTGACCTATTTTGAGGTCATGAAATTCTTGAAAATCTGCTGGCAAGCATGGATTTACGTCAGAAAATGTAAATATGTATATCCACATGGAATTTTAGATACCATTTTCTCCCCTCTCAACCCACCCATGAACTGTATTATAACCTCTAAAAAGTAAAATAGATAGGAAGCAAATGTTCAAGGATATCTAGGTGTCTTGAGGCAGAATTTCTTGAATATTTCTGAAAATTGAGCTGGGCATGTAAGATCAATTAGGGTTTTTTTTTTTTGATACTGGTGATCAAACTTAGGACCTTGTGCTTTCAAGGCAGGGACAGTGCTACTGAGCTAAATCCCCAGCCCTGACTAGATTTGAATATATAGATGGCCATAATAAACTTTTGCTAAAAAGATTTTAACAGAAGTTAATGTTGTTAAAATCATTGAATTGTTAAATTGTCTAGTCACTCAAAGTACGATTGTGTGCCCCCTCACTTCACACTGTAACATATCTTTGTTTTTTCCTCTGAAAATAGAATAGGCATAAGGTAAACAAAATAGAATGTGTAACCCTTGGCATTAAATTTTATTGCTCTTAGGCCGGGGATTTAGCTTACTGGTTTCGTTGCCTCCTGCGCAAGCACAAGGACCCGAGTTCGATCCCCGGTACCAAAAAAAAAAACCCAAAATTTTTATTGTTCTTGCAGTGAGATCTTGAATCTTAAATTATGGTAGAGCTTGGCGCAAGACCCCCCAGCCCTCTGACAAACTAAGACAGGAGGATTCCAAGTTTGAACTTAGCTCAGGAAATTTAGCAATTTAGCAAGACCCCATCTCAAAATTTAAACAAATAAAAAGGGTTGGGGACGTACCTCATTGTGAAGGCCCTGTGTTCACTGCCAGTACCACAAAACAAACAAAAAACATAATGGGGAGAAGTGTGTATAAATATAGGAGTATAAGACCGATAAAGTGGGTATGCATATAAGTGAAGCCAGTTAAAGCTTTGTGTTTCTACTCAATGAAATAAATTGAAGTTATCTTGTCATAGGTTTCCCTCTAGCCAAGTAAATATTGCACCTGAATAAAAACTTGTGAAATTTAAAGGATTCTCATTTAGGCTACTTGAGCAGCTTTTGAACTTGATAAATGAAAAACATTCTTTTTCCTCGCCTTCCTATAGATGATCAGTATGACAATTAGTATGTTTGATTGGATGTTGGCTAAAACTAGAGTACAGAGATTCGTGCTTATTTCATAGTTGTCATCAGAGAATGAGTACTGTCTGGGACTTCCTGCTTAGTGTTTCATAGAAATGGGTCCATGTTTTGGTGATTTCCAAATCTGTCACCTAATAGTAAGATTATATCAAGTTAATATTGTCAGCCTCTCTTTTACTGGACATTTGCCCTGTTTCTCCATTATAAGTAATGCAAAGAGAACACTAATTTAGTGGTTCATTTTATCCATGTGCATAGCTAGTTAACTTTAGTTTTCTTTCCTTATTATTATTTTTTTTTGGTACTGGGGTTTGAACTCAGGTCCTTGTGCTTGCACAGCAGGCGGCGGAACCACTGAGCTAAATCCCCGGCCGCTCTTTCCTTATTTTTTTTTATTTATTTATTTTTTTGTTTGTTTGTTTGGTACTGGGGATCGAACTCAGGTCCTTGCACTTGCAAAGCAGGCGGCAGAACCACTGAGCTAAATCCCCGGCCCCTCTTTCCTTATTTTTTAAGAAAGGAAACACTTGACAATAAGATTTTTAATCAGCATATTAGTCTGTTTTTCATTGCTGTAATAAGATACCCAAGGCTGAGTAATTAGTAAAGAAAGAAGGTTTATTTAGCTTGCAGTTCTGGAGGTTCCAAGAGCACAGCCCTGGCTTTGTTCAGCTCTAGTGAGTACCTCATGGGGAAAGGTATTACAGTTGTGGCAGTGTATGTGAAAGTGATCACGTGGTAAGACAGGAAGGTAGAGATTCAGGGGTCAGGCTCACTGTCTTATAACAACCCACATTTGTGGGAACTTTCTCTGAGACCAAGATTAATCCTTTCTGAGGGCAGTGTCCCCAGATGACCTAATCACTTCCCACTAAAGCCTACTTCTTAAAGACTGCACCACCTTGCACATTACCACATTGGGGATCAAGCTTCCAACACATGAGCTTTTGGAGTATTGATGTCAGAACCATAGCGATCAGTCCTTTTTCTGTTTCTGAGCCTAGAAGAATGTTCTAGGGATTAGATTGCACTCTAAAAAGATTTGGAAAGTCCTCTTCTAGACAACTCAATCACTTAAGAAAGTGTTGCTTTATCCCAGCATGATACTATTTTGCTTCATGTTAAATCTGTCTGTTTTAGTTTGGGTCTAGATATCCCCCCAAAGCCTCATGTGGTCAGAGGTGACTGAATCTAGAGTCTGTGATGCTGGGATTAAAGGTGTGTGATTACTAAATCAGTATACAGATTGGCTTGGCACTGCCCTAATCCTAGTAGTCTGGATAAGATAAAAGGGGCAAAAAGATGCTGTTAAGGTCCCTTGTTGCTTTTGCTACCATGTGGGCACCATGAACTGTTTCTCCTCTGTGACTCCCCTCTGCCTTGGAGCCAGCCAGTTATAGACTAAAACCTCTACAAACTGAGCTAAATAAACCCTTTCCCCTTTAACTCTGAGTCTTGGGTATTTTGTCTCAGGAGTAAGGAAAAGTAACTGAGAGACTATGCTTAATTATGTGCTTAATGGAAGTACATAATCTCAATTTACATCCTCTGGAACCATGGATTTATTTCCCATTTTAGTATATGTCATCTTATTTTATGTATATTTTCCTCAACTTGAGCACTTTGAAACTAGTATTAGAAAAGAGGGAATTATTGAAGGCTAGGAAAGGAAGAGGTTTACAAGAGTAAAGAAAAGGAATTTTGGCAAAATAGCCTTGGGAGGAACAAAGTTGAGTATACTTGGGTGTCTGAACCATAATCCATGATTTAGGAGGAGAGAGGCTGCTTAGACTGTTTTGGGGATTCCATTCTGAACTAATGAGCCATGGCCTGAATCATTCAGTTTCAGAGATAAGAGCATACATAACCACTTTTATATCAGAAATGATATTTAAATAATATTATAGGTACATGTAGGAATTTGTTCCTCATACACAGAGTGGGTTAAACAAAAGTTTAGCTAGATGTTTCCATTATAAGAATTAGAATTACTTTGGTCTTGGAACTTAAGACCCAAGAATTAAATCACCAGCAGCTACAAGTCATTTAAAAAAAAAAGCGTTGAATGTTGTATGAAGTGTCAAAAGAAGAACAATATACACTAGTACTCCCTTTTACCCATGGAGGCATACATTCTAAAACCCCAGTGGGTACCTGAAACCTGTTAGTACCAGATCCCATATGTGCTATGTTTTTTCCTATACATACATATCTATGGTAAATTTTAACTTATAAATTGGGCACAGTAAGAGATTAACAACAGTAAAAATAAAATAGAACAATCATAACAATATGCTGTAATAAAATTTATGTGAATTTAGCCTCTAAATACCTTATCAAACTTTTCAGCTTTTCACTTAAAGGGAGCAGTTTATGACTTTTTTGCATATCTGAATTTGCCAGTGCACTACACCTATGTTCAAAATATTTTCTTCTTCATTTTTCATTCTTTTGCTTTGTTTTGTTTTGGTACCAGGGTTCGAACTCAGGACCTTGTGCTTTCGAGGCAGGCGCCGGTACCACTG